TACATTTGATAATAGGGAATAGGGGAGAACAGGAACGAAAGGGAAGGGAAGGGAAGAGAAGGGAAGAGAAGGGAAGAGAAGGAAAGAGAAGAGAGAATGGAAGGAAAGGGAAGAGAAGATTTAATGGAATGAAATGGAATAGAACAGAATAGGAATAGAAATGGAAGAGAAGAGAAAATGGAATGGGAATGGAATATGAGGGTGTCAAATTATTCTCCAAAGCACCAGAGGGCAGGGTAAGAAACAATGGTTGGAAACTAATAAAAGAGAGAAGCAACTGGAATTAAGATGAAACTTCCTAACAGTGTGGACAATTAACCAGTGGAACAGCTTGCCATTACAAATCGTGGGAGCTCCATCACTGGAGAGATTTTAAGAAGAGACTGGACAGCCATCTGTCTGAAATGGTATAGGTTCTCCTGCTTGGGCAGGGGGTTGGATTAGATGACCTCCAAGGTCCCTTCTACCTCTATTCTGATTGATTGATCCTGATGAATTAAGGCCAGCCCCTCCCCCCCCCAAGGAAGAGCAAGCAAAGAAGGAAGGCAACAAATACATTACACTGCCCCTCCCCCCCAAATGCTCCTGGGACTTAAGGAGGGGTCTTCCCGAGACGCTTCTGGTGCCCATTCACCGCTTTGGATTGGCCCATCTCTGTCCAGCTCATGCCCCTCCCTCCCTCCCATCTGGAGACCCATGGCCATTTTCCCTCCCCCCAAAAACCTTTGCGGGGAAGTGTTGGGGGGAGAGAGAGGAAGTGAGCCAGGGCAGTTCCATTAAGTCGGGGGTCTCTCGCAGGGCCCCCCACTCACCTTGTTGTTCTGCATGTCCTTGTTGGCCCCGTTCTTCAGCAGCGCCAGGGCAGCGTCCACATTGTTCACAGCGGCCGCCCAGTGCAGGGCCGACTTCCCTGGAGGGGAAAAAGGGAGAGGGGAGGCGGTAAGTAGGCCGTTCCGCAGCCTCCTTCGGCAGGCCGCTCAGGGGAGTCTCGGGGACCCATAGCTACCTAGGTCATCCACAGCGTTCACATCAGCATGGCAGCTGATGAGATCTTCCAGCATGCCTTCCACCGCCAAGCGGGCGGCCAAAATCAGGGGCGTGGTCCCGTCATTCATGCGCGCATCCAAGTCGGTGGCCCTGTTCCGGATCAGGATCTGTTATGGGGGAGGGAAGAAACACCCCGGTTAGTGGAAGCTGAAAGGGCTGAGATGAAAACTGCCCTCCACCCAGCCTTTGTGCAGAGACCCCTGTTGTGCCCCCCCCCCCCCAAGTGGGGCTGCTGGCTGATCCAGACAGTGAGGAGGTTGGGGAGGAAGATGGGCCAGTCCTGGAGTCTGGGGAAGGCTCAGAGGAGGGCTCTGTGTCAGAGGAAGAGACGGGGCCCAGGCTGTCTGGCAGTTCTCAGCTGCCTTTGGAGCTAGGCAAGAGTGAGGAAGAGGAACAGCTGGAGCCTGTTCCCAGTGGGCGCATGCACAGAGCTGCCAGAAGAGAACAGGTCAGAAATTAAGGTCGACTTGAGAGTAAAGTCACAGGTGGACGGTGAATGGCCCCTCCCATAGGGAATAAGAGGAGTGGGCTTTTGCAGGAAACAATTTGTTCGTTAGGTGTTTCAGGAGTGTGAAGATCTGTCCGTGAATCTCAGAGACTCTGTGCCCAATCTCTTCTTTCATGGCACCTCGTTTGGAAAATATTTACATGGCAGCTTTCCAAGATAGATAAGGTCTGTGGTCATAAATACTCCTTTG